ACGTCTGTAAATTTCAAACTGATATTCTTAATCAACACTTTTTAATTCGCACTGACTGCAAGGTCGCCAAAGACATTCTGCAAAAGGATGTCCAAAACCTTGTATCAAAACAAATATTTGCCCGATGGCAAGCTATATTATCTGCTTTTGACTTTTCTATTGAACATCTTCACGGTTCTTCTAATTCTCTACCTGACTTCTTAACCCGTGAATTTTTACAGGGGGGACCCTATACTACAACCTAAGGACAATACCATCTCATCTTACGGTTTTTCCTCTTACGGTTTGCAACTCTTTTTCTCAAATAAGAATAGCAATACAAATATGAATCCTCATTCTTCAGATCCCAAAGGAAAACATCCAATGGAGTTAGTCCCAAGCAATAGGTATGGGCCTCTTATGCCCATCCATTCCTCTCTCAACCTAACACCTATGTCACCCCTTCGATCCACCAATGTACCAGAATATCTTCTACAGACTCCTCCACAAAGTCCATCATCCACTCCAAGTTCGGCATTTTCGCCGGCATCATACCCACAAAAACAAACCTCAACCTCTGCCAAATCCATTTATATAGATACTGCTTTTTTACCAGAGGTAATCATTTCTGATGATCATGCTCAACTCGACCCATATAAAATAGCTCCCCTCTACCTTTCAAATCACATGAATTCATCTTATGGCATTAAAACCCGTGAATGGTATGAAGCCATTCTCATGGAAACTGGTTCCGTATCCATTATTCACTTCTACCAAGGTACTACCAAATTATATGCATATTCGAAATTCCAAATCAAAAAATTGCTTTCCTACGAAGATTGGGGCTGTAATCCCCTCCAGGGAAAAAGGTTATTAAATCCAAAATTTCCATATAAATCTTATAAATATTCTGAATATATTGAGGCATGGCATAAAGTATTTGCCTACCAAAATCCAAATAATACTCATTCCTGGTATATCCAATTCAAACTTCCTGTCTTAGAAAGATTCCCCAATTGGTTTCGCCACTGGTTTCTAATATGGGGATCTCAAACCCAAATATTGCTTGATGCGCTCCAGAACCTACAAACAAAATTTGCTCAACATAATACTTGCACCAACCTAGATGATTACCATCTCTACTTTATGGCAATATATCAAATCCCTTGGATTCTCAAATGGGAATACTCCATCTCTGAAAATAATACCAACAGCTATGAATATATTCCCCAATTAGGTAAAACCGTGAAAGTCAAATGGTGGGACATTTTTAGTACTAATCCTACCACATTACCCTTGAAAAGGATGCCTCCACAACCTGAAACCCTCAAACCAGTGTCAAATAATACAGTCAGTCTTCCTACCTTTTCAGCTTACCTCAAAAAACTAAAGAAAACACATCCCAATGCTACTTTTGAAGAAATAGAGCAAACACTACTCCATGTCTTTGCTCCTGATACGACTAGGCCAGCAACTTCAGAAGAAACAGTCCAATCCGGAAATCCCCTATTGGAAGATTTTAGCCAAAGGCCTACAGAATAACCCGACCCGACGGTTCGATTCCTTTCTACAGCTAACCCGACGATTCGAGTCCCTTTTCCAGCACTGATATGACTGCTACAGCATAAAGATTCCATTTTATCCTTCTGCATAAAATGACAACAGAGCAACAAGTAAAGATGCCCTTCGTTCGACCATGACAAGACAGTGAAATAGTGCAAGATTCTCTCCCAATAGTAAAAGATTGAAGCAACTCATTTGATGTCACATCCAGAAGCACAGTAAAGATTCCCCTTCCGTACTATTCCCTAATAGGACAAAATATGGCTTGTCTCCTTCTCCCTCAAGATGACTCACATCACCACTCGCATAGTATCAAAAGATTCGCCAGTCGCCATCACCGACGCTCACAGCCTTCCTACTTCCGCCACGTATCCACCTTCGCCATCAGCAACCTTATCTTCAGATTCCTTCTTCCACAAGGAACTGATAGGAGCCACATGAATTTCCTTCACCTCAAAGCAATTACTGCCAACCACATACTCTCCATCAGAAGTTCCCTATAAATAACCACTTCGGCTAGAGGAACAGGCAGACTGCATTCAAGGAAAGACCAAGCCTCTTCAAGCAAGAAGAAAAGCAAGCATAGCTTCTCATACTATCTCTTCTCATACTATCTTTTCTCTTCCTCCTTCTTACCTTCTTCTCCATTCTGTAAGACAGTATCTGTAGACAGTGGGTTAGATTTTATTCAAGTCATCGACATTTGTACATCATCAAAGTCGGTAACTTCCATGACTTCTTTTGGATAAAAATATAATATGTGTGATTGTAATCTATCTTCTTTACCCTCTTATTATCCTCATGAGTGGAAGAAATTTGCAAGTCTCTGTATATGTAACCAGTAAGTTATGCAATTTAAATTTGTCTTTACATTTAAAATTTGTGATTATACGCATACGTCGTAGATCATATTTGATATTTCTGTACTTCCGATCTCAATCATTTTATTTATGTTTTTATATTATATCACTATTCTTCAACAGTTAGTAGTTTATAATTCAACAATCTTTTCATATTTACTGTAATTTTTCATATTTACTGTAATACTGATACGTTGTTACTTAGGGTAGATTTTGGGCAAAAATACCATATGAACCTAGTTTAAGTGAAACAAAAATACCAACAAAAGCTAGGCCAATTCAGATGAATACCGAATTATTGCAAACATGTCAAATAGAAATAAATGACCTACTCCAAAAGAAATTAATACGTCCTAGTTCATCTCCTTGGAGTTGTTCTGCCTTTTATGTCAATAAAAATGCTGAGCAAGAACGAGGAGTTCCTCGGTTAGTCATCAATTATAAACCTCTTAATAAAGTCTTAAAATGGATTAGATATCCCATTCCAAATAAAAAAGATTTACTTGATAGATTATTACATGCTGTAATCTTCTCCAAATTCGATTTAAAATCCGGGTTTTGGCAAATCCAGATAAAAGAAGAAGATAAATATAAAACAGCCTTCAATGTCCCTTTCGGACAATATGAGTGGAACGTTATGCCTTTCGACCTTAAAAATGCTCCATCTGAATTTCAAAAAATAATGAATGAGATCTTTAATCCCTTTTATAAATTCATGATTGTTTATATTGATGATGTTTTAGTCTTTTCTGAATCAATAGAACAACATTTTAAACATCTTCATACTTTTATTCACACAGTTAAAACAGCTGGATTAGTTGTTTCTGCTAAAAAGATAAATTTGTTCCAAACAAAAATAAGATTCCTAGGACATAATATTAATCAAGGAACAATCATTCCAATTGATCGATCAATACTTTTTGCTGATAAATTTCCTGATAAAATTTTAGATAAAACTGAATTACAACGGTTTTTAGGATGTCTTAATTACATAAGTGATTTTTATCAAAATCTGGCTTTAGATGCTAAACCTTTATATGATCGGTTAAAAAAGAATCCTCCACCATGGACTAATATTCATACTTTAGCTGTACAGAAACTTAAGCTCAAAGCTAAAGAACTTCCATGTTTAAATTTATCTGATCCAACAGCGTTTAAAATTATTGAATGTGATGCTTCTGAAATAGGGTTAGGAGGAATATTAAAACAATCAATTGCTTCTAAAGAACAATTAATACGTTTTACCTCTAAAGCATGGAATCCTACCCAAAAGAATTATTCTACTGTCAAAAAAGAATTACTTGCTATTATTCATTGCGTCTGTAAATTTCAAACTGATATTCTTAATCAACACTTTTTAATTCGCACTGACTGCAAGGCCGCCAAAGACATTCTGCAAAAGGATGTCCAAAACCTTGTATCAAAACAAATATTTGCCCGATGGCAAGCTATATTATCTGCTTTTGACTTTTCTATTGAACATCTTCACGGTTCTTCTAATTCTCTACCTGACTTCTTAACCCGTGAATTTTTGCAGGGGGGACCCTATACTACAACCTAAGGATAATACCATCTCATCTTACGGTTTTTCCTCCTACGGTTTGCAACTCTTTTTCTCAAATAAGAATAGCAATACAAATATGAATCCTCATTCTTCATATCCCAAAGGAAAACATCCAATGGAGTTAGACCCAAGCAATAGGTATGGGCCTCTTATGCCCATCCATTCATCTCTCAACCTAACACCTATGTCACCCCTTCGATCCACCAATGTACCAGAATATCTTTTACAGACTCCTCCACAAAGTCCATCATCCACTCCAAGTCCGGCATTTTCCCCGGCATCATACCCACAAAAACAAACCTCAACCTCTGCCAAATCCATTTATATAGATACTGCTTTTTTACCAGAGGTAATCATTTCTGATGATCATGCTCAACTCGACCCATATAAAACAGCTCCCCTCTACCTTTCAAATCACATGAATTCATCTTATGGCATTAAAACCCGTGAATGGTATGAAGCCATTCTCATGGAAACTGGTTCCGTATCCATTGTTCACTTCTACCAAGGTACTACCAAATTATATGCATATTCGAAATTCCAAATCAAAAAATTGCTTTCCTATGAAGATTGGGGCTGTAATCCTTTCCAGGGAAAAATGTTATTAAATCCAGAATTTCCATATAAATCTTATAAATATTCTGAATATATTGAGGTATGGCATAAAGTATTTGCCTACCAAAATCCAAATAATACTCATTATATTGAGTTTCTAATGTATTTATTTCAAAGTCAGAAATAGGAATATTGTGCTGGTTTAAGGTGTCTCTTAACCAGTCAAAAAAGCATTTTCCTTTATTTCCCTTTTTTCTCCATTTGTTAAATTAAGAATGAAATAATTCGACTAGCCTGGGTTTAAATTCTTTCACATACCATTCTCTAATATTTTTATTTTCCGGAGATAAAAAATCTTTGATAATATCATCTCGGGTGAATGTTTCTTCAAGCTGTAATACTTGAATAATTCTGCCTCAGCAGGTTCTTTTTCAGCTTGTCTATATTGGGGTATAATGATATTATCAGATGTTCGCAGAAGTCCCTCAATCTGTGGTTTTGGTGTTGATGGAATGTTTATTATAGGAGGGATTCTAGTATAAGTGGTAATAGATTTTCTTGGAGGTTCTGGATTTCGAAAAGAATGGTTTCGCGAGGTATCTGAGATGGATGCATCTGGGATGGATGCATTATCCAGAATTCTATTATTTGTAGTAAATTGTATTTCAATATTTCCATCTGTGTATTCAATAATCTTGTCTGGAATATTTTGAATAGGGTTTTGTGATGGTTGGTTTTCATTATGGATAGCCCATGTTTGGGGTAGAACAACATCTGACCATGATATTGTTTTTGGTATAATTGTATTTGATTTTTCCATATTAGTTTGAAAAAATATTTACCCTTGAAAAGGATGCCTCCACAACCTGAAACCCTCAAACCAGTGTCAAATAATACAGTCAGTCTTCCTACCTTTTCAGCTTACCTCAAAAAACTAAAGCAAACACATCCCAATGCTACTTTTGAAGAAATAGAGCAAACACTACTCCATGTCTTTGCTCCTGATACGACTAGGCCAGCAACTTCAGAAGAAACAGTCCAATCCGAAAATCCCCTATTGGAAGATTTTAGCCAAAGGCCTACAGAATAACCCGACCCGACGGTTCGATTCCTTTCTACAGCTAACCCGACGATTCGAGTCCCTTTTCCAGCACTGATATGACTGCTACAGCATAAAGATTCCATTTTATCCTTCTGCATAAAATGACAACAGAGCAACAAGTAAAGATGCCCTTCGTCCGACCATGACAAGACAGTGAAATAGTGCAAGATTCTCTCCCAATAGTAAAAGATTGAAGCAACTCATTTGATGTCACATCCAGAAGCACAGTAAAGATTCCCCTTCCGTACTATTCCCTAATAGGACAAAATATGGCTTGTCTCCTTCTCCCTCAAGATGACTCACAGCACCACTCGCATAGTACCAAAAGATTCGCCAGTCGCCATCACCGACGCTCACAGCCTTCCTACTTCCGCCACGTATCCACCTTCGCCATCAGCAACCTTTCAGATTCCTTCTTCCACAAGGAACTGATAGGAGCCACATGAATTTCCTTCATTTTGTTTGTAGGTTCTGGAACGCATCAGGCAATATTTGGGTTTGAGATCCCCATATTAGAAACCAGTGGCGAAACCAACTGGAGAATCTTTCTAAGACAGGAAGTTTGAATTGGATATACCAGGAATGAGTATTATTTGGATTTTGGTAGGCAAATACTTTATGCCATGCCTCAATATATTCAGAATATTTATAAGATTTATATGGAAATTTTGGATTTAATAACCTTTTTCCCTGGAGGGGATTACAGCCCCAATCTACGTAGGAAAGCAATTTTTTGATTTGGAATTTCGAATATGCATATAATTTGGTAGTACCTTGGTAGAAGTGAATAATGGATACGGAACCAGTTTTCATGAGAATGGCTTCATACCATTCACGGGTTTTAATGCCATAAGATGAATTCATGTGATTTGAAAGGTAGAGGGGAGCTATTTTATATGGGTCGAGTTGAGCATGATCATCAGAAATGATTACCTCTGGTAAAAAAGCAGTATCTATATAAATGGATTTGGCAGAGGTTGAGGTTTGTTTTTGTGGGTATGATGCAGGGGAAAATGCCGGACTTGGAGTGGATGATGGACTTTGTGGAGGAGTCTGTAGAAGATATTCTGGTACATTGGTGGATCGAAGGGGTGACATAGGTGTTAGGTTGAGAGAGGAATGGATGGGCATAAGAGGCCCATACCTATTGCTTGGGACTAACTCCATTGGATGTTTTCCTTTGGGATCTGAAGAATGAGGATTCATATTTGTATTGCTATTCTTATTTGAGAAAAAGAGTTGTAAACCGTAGGAGGAAAAACCGTTTGAATAATAGCAAGTAACTCTTTTTTGGCAGTAGAATAATTCTTTTGGGTAGGATTCTATGCTTTAGAGGTAAAACGTATTAATTTTTCTTTAGAAGCAATTGATTGTTTTAATATTCCTCCTAACCCTATTTCAGAAGCATCACATTCAATAATTTTAAACGCTGTTGGATCAGATAAATTTAAACATGGAAGTTCTTTAGCTTTGAGCTTAAGTTTCTTTACAGCTAAAGTATGAATATTAGTCCATGGTGGAGGATTCTTTTTTAACCGATCATATAAAGGTTTAGCATCTAAAGCCAGATTTTGATAAAAATCACTTATGTAATTAAGACATCCTAAAAACCGTTGTAATTCAGTTTTATCTAAAATTTTATCAGGAAATTTATCAGCAAAAAGTATTGATCGATCAATTGAAATGATTGTTCCTTGATTAATATTATGTCCTAGGAATCTTATTTTTGTTTGGAACAAATTTATATTTTTAGCAGAAACAACTAATCCAGCTGTTTTAACTGTGTGAATAAAAGTATGAAGATGTTTAAAATGTTGTTCTATTGATTCAGAAAAGACTAAAACATCATCAATATAAACAATCATGAATTTATAAAAGGGATTAAAGATCTCATTCATTATTTTTTGAAATTCAGATGGAGCATTTTTAAGGCCGAAAGGCATAACGTTCCACTCATATTGTCCGAAAGGGACATTGAAGGCTGTTTTATATTTATCTTCTTCTTTTATCTGGATTTGCCAAAACCCGGATTTTAAATCGAATTTGGAGAAGATTACAGCATGTAATAATCTATCAAGTAAATCTTTTTTATTTGGAATGGGATATCTAATCCATTTTAAGACTTTATTAAAAGGTTTATAATTGATGACTAACCGAGGAACTCCTCGTTCTTGCTCAGCATTTTGGTTAAAGAACGTCTCAAAAATAAAAACAGTGGTGTCATAAACTATTCCCAATATACATTAGGAGAATTATCTTCAGAAATTTGTGCTGAAGGCTTAGCCTTATGCACAGATCTGAAACTCAAAAAGCAACTTGATAAACAGAATCTAAGTGGCAAAAAGGAATTAAGAGATTATATATATATATATATATATATATATATATAT